TATATATATAGTCTCCAGACTACTGGACGGGAGGTCACCGGTTCGAGACTCCGGGGTTTTGATGTGCACACTGCTGGTGATTTTCTACAAGGATGAAACGGCTACACACTTCTAGGCTTTTCAACGTAGATAGGACGAAATCGACACGTATTTCTTATCCTTGTTTTGAAGCATCGTAGACGCTTGCGAACTTTCAAATTGCTCATCTAAAATAAATTACCTGTGACCGTTGGTTTGTTCGCCGGGCTGGGCTATTTGGTCGCAAACGTGTGATCAACAGTCGAGATGACATTATCAGTTTGTTGTGGGCAGAAGTGTGTCAAGGTTGGAGGTGCACTTCCCAGAATGCACTGGTGATGAAAAGTTCAAGGGTCGTTTTTAAGATATATGCTATCATTATTCTCTTCAATTGCAACCTATCCATACTGATCGTTAAACAGTGAGGGCTTAATCATACAGCTTTAACTTACTCTCTCACTGCAAAGCCTCCAAAAATGCCATCGTTCAAGCCTTCCCCTTATGTTGTGGGTGAATTTCAACCAGGCAGGTGCAATCGCTGGACCCAACTCAAGCTTCTAAATGCATTTGTGACGTTAGTCTACAGATCAGGTTCCCTAAGCAGTTTTTCGCGTAGCGAAAGCCGGAAGTGACAACGCCTTTTATTTGGTTCGTAATCGAGTGTGTTCATAATCTGTATACTTAGGATGATGATTGATGGACACTTCACCGAGCTTGGCAAACGTTCGCGTCTGTTGGACACATTCTATGGTGTACCAGTTACGGTCATTGATTTTTTTCGTTACAGGCCTTATCCGTCCATGAGCTCCAACACAAAGTCGTCCCTAGAGATAGAGGAAGAAGAATCCGCTGGGTTTGCCAATGATATAACTTCCCTCACGTCAAGGAACTCACCACTTTTCAGTCTCCCAGCGCATTCTGAATTCGGTCCTGGGATTCTGGAAAAGGGTGGACTCTCAGCTTCTGCTGTCCGATCTCAGCGCGTGGGCTCTACCGGAGCATCTTCAGATGTTTCAGACTCCCCCAGCACGACTAGTCGGTCCAACTCTACCGTGTTGGTAGATCATCGATTGGTGGGTGTACCTAGTCCGATCGGGTGGCACGGTGTCAGCGGTAACCGTGATCGCCGTTCCAGAGGTTCTCGCCGTCCTGGCCGTGAAGCACTTATGGATGAGCTTGGTTCTGACACATTGCACTCGACGGACTTTGATGAACCCCACTCTAACGCCCCCAGTACTACCACAGACGGTTTCTTCGAGTCGTCCTCCTTTGGTTTTGTTTCTGATGTGAAGTTGGACAATCCTGAAGAAGGCTTAGAAGACGACGAGGATCAGAAACGTTATTGCGTTTGTAACGACGTTAGTTACGGGGATATGATTGCCTGTGACAATCCAAATTGCCCCTTTGAATGGTTTCACTACAGTTGTGTTAGTTTGACGGTTGCACCTAAAGGTGATTGGTATTGTCCAAGTTGCATAAAAACTTTTTCCAGTACAAAAAGTATGAAAAAACGAATCGGCCGACGACAGTAGTGTATGTGGCACCTGTACAATTATCATTCATATGCACACACATTCTACGTATTTCAACCGTTTTCATATTTAAACTACTGGGACCTCAATAACTTTGGCAGCATTTAGAATACCCTCAGTCAGCTTGCGATCCGAATGGACGGTTGTCGATTGTCATCGATTGGAAGACCGGAGCCTACGGTAGAAGTTTACTTTGGATGTCAGTCTAGAGATTTTCCAGTGTTCTTTGAAAAATATCCGACGGATGTGTACTTCGATGCGGTTTCAAATGGCCGAATTTCTGTATTACTGGTAGAGATGCAGTGATCCCGGACGCTCTTATTTCAGATCATGTCTCCTACGGACCATTATTACATTAATGATTAACTTGCTTCCATAAACAGTACCATATGATGCCATTACGACAAAAAATTTTGGAATCCTGCAAACGCTTTTATGATTCCGCCACAACCGAATTCGCCCCCAGTCGTAGCGGCTGTCATAACAGTTTTATTCTACATGCAAGTACAAAATTTCGCAGTATCTTCATACCATCAACGGAATACGAAGCACTGAATTGTGTCACATTTTCACGCACTCCTAACTTCGAACATTGTGTTGGTGTTTCGGTGCTAACGAATTTCTATTGAATCTCCGATGGTGGCTTATAAGATCTTACTAAGTTCAATCCTTTTACGCTAATTGGATAAAACCTGGACCCTGTGAATTTGGAACTTATCAGTTAGGCAAGGGTCTAGAGAGTCCACTTGTCGTGCAGATGTACCATGATTCCTGACCGCCTGACTAAGTCGTACCGGTGGGTTTTCGTGCCCAAGATAAAGAGGGACAGAGGTCATGATCTGCTCATGCTAGTCACATCCCCAAAACCTGGGACGACGCCTGTCGTCTTCCATTTAATGATGCATCCGTGGACACAATCGTGAGCATTACGAGTACCGGTTGGATGATCGGAAAACTGCGCGAGACGCTTGGGTTTTGAAGACGCATTCAGTTCACAGCTGACAACGAAATTAGCAAATTGCAAGACGGCATTTGTTCATTGCGAATAAACCAAACACACACAGCATGTCTGAAGATAGCAACTTTCACTATCCGCGTCAAACATATTTTCAGAAAGGAACTCATTCATGGATGAATCGCATATGAGAATGGTCTGGCAGCTAGAATTATGAGCTAACAATTGTATAGTTTTACCGAAGTGGTTGCAAAGACCATCAATCCCTATTAAGTGCACACATCGCCAGGCCCCAATCAATGGGAAAGCGCGACCATATCCACTGTGTATCGTTACCATGAAAACCTAAAAGAGTATGGCACTAACAAGTCGTTCAACCATATATAGGAACAAGCGGAGAACCGCAGGCGCATACGAACCGTGAACGTTTGTCAGCTGCACCCTAACCTTCGGATTTGCTCCAGCTCCGCTATCTGACTCGGGAAATCTGTGTGATGTTCGTTGTAACTAGACTCTCAGCCATTTATTTTATCTCATCTTACGAAAGCACGTCAAGGCTCGGCCAAAGAACAGCAAAGAGCAGTCCGAACGGAAGAACGTTGTGTGGAGATCTTCACATTGCTAGTTGTGCTGCAGTGGCATGCGTACAGACGCCCTACTGTCTTGGTGTTCTTGAACTTCAACGGCGCGTCAGACTATGTTGACCAGTTCGTTCTCAGTACAGTTGTGTAACAAAGTATGACGTATAGTCTCCGACTAAGCCTCCAAAAATGTAAGGAGTGACACTGAACATTGTGAGCACGAAGAAGCTGCATCAGCTCCGGTGGTAGTGCTAAGAAGTCTATTTAAGAATCTCAAAGACAATAATTGTTTTTGCCAACTTGAACTGCTGGCGACATTAAATAGGCATATCATTGGGTCTCGCAGAACACGTGTACCACACTAAAGTGCGGTTCAACATCTAAGACACCTACACACCTTTGTCCACTGATGTCTCAGAACCATAGATGGACCCAGTTAGAATCAGCGAGTTTGCAGAGTTGCAAGCCAAGACGGTTGGTCCATGTGTTACGCATGCCAAGAGAATAGTTTTCCGCATCTAATTTGGAGTGGCGGAGATCTAGAGATCAACATAGTCTGACACAGCATAAGGGAATGAAGGATGTTACGAAAAGTCTAGGTGTTGTTTTTCTTCCAGGACAGGGTCCACCTGAGCCCCCGTGTACTTGGAAATAGTGAAGAATACGACGACTAACTGATGTCAGTGACGTCCACGTTGTCAGCTCTTACCCAGCTTGTCCAACAGAGTGTTGGAGTCGCAGGCCGGATGTATGTAGAAGCCTAGATCTAGGTGCAACTCCTGGTATCATTGTTTTTCTATTACAGTTCTTTATTTATTGCATGCTTGTACAGTAGTGAAGCATTGGTTATTTTCCCGGTATTGTCAATTATGACGATGATCTGACCTGAGTTATGTGAGCGCAGCCGTGAGTAGGCAACCTGGTGCGATCAAACTCCATTCTCCTCAGAGTTGCACGGATCTTATTGTCCACGAAAATCAACAGACCTCCCGACTTCACCCAATCAAAAAGCCCACCCACCTAAAACGCGGTTGTAGGACGTGACAGTGTTTGCAAGTCTACTTTACTCAATCAACTTAACTTGAACACCGGGACATCATTTCCCTTTATCAGACGTCTTTCTACTCCGTCCTTCGAAATAATTGCCAGTCGGATACATCCACCGCTAGAACCATCGCGGTTGATTGCCAGAGCAACACCTAAAACGAAAGGATAGTATAGTCGTCGTCAGGATGTCATCAACAGTTGATGTAAAAAATACTGAAGCAAAACTTCTGCTGTAGAACGAAAAATGACACCGGCTTCATTAAATCTCCAAATGACGTACACTAAATGGGAAAAAACAGTCAGCACGATCACGCACATCGTCCCAGCTTCTTTCGAAGAGGAAATATGCATAGGAGTATAGATAGGAAAGTGCCCGATAAAAGACTCGGAGTCTGCGACTACGAAAATGGATTTCTAGCTCGTACTGGGGGGTTGCTCTTCACCTAACTTTGACCTGAGTACAAAGGGATACGTGCGCATCAACGAGACACAGCCAAAGGGGAGAACGAATGCAGATATCCAAAACACACTACGAATGGACTGGACCTTCCGCAACGCGATAATCTGCGCATTTCCATGACCCATGATGCTATACACGGGAGTGCACCTGTGAAACACAGCGCTCCTCATACCAGGCTGGTTATTGGGTAGAGGTCTGACAAACAATCTCCTGGTCTTATAGCTTGGAGATTTGAACACACGATGACTTACTCCTTGAAAATGTAGACTGCTCTGACGGTTTTACGCCAGCTGCCGCTGCTCTGCGCTTAGGCTTTTGATATAAGTGGATTGGTCAGGACCCAAATCATGCTCCTGTATGGGTCTGGGCACTTGACAGCATCCCAGCCCACGTACGAATAATCTCACGCTATACCGGTCGTCCAGTGGTGTCATCATCATC